TCTCATTTGTTTAAAAAAAAAAAAAAAAACAGATTTCTTTGCAATTTAAGATGACATCTTTGGATATCTTTTCTGCTGGAGATAGTGTTGTCCTAAATTTTTTTTTTACAAATCTTGCACATAACTTAGGAACGGTATAGCAGAAAATTTTACCAGTTTTAAAACCTTGACTTTTCCAAACCACAACATACCTTGAAAACAGTTATCCCCTTATGCTTAGATACTAGGGCTGAACAATATATCATTTGAGCATTGATATCGCAATGTGTGTATTTGCAATAATCACATCGCAGGATTTCATTTTTTATTTAGCAGGGCTCGAAATTGCGACCATTTTGGTCGCATATGCGCCCGAAAATTAATCTATGCGACCTCATAATATATCTGGGAGCATTAGTGCGACTGCAGATAATGGTTGTAGTGCGACCTGTTTTGATTTTTTGTAAAAACGTGCTGAATCGCTCTTCCCTGCCTCTATATTGGTTCATATTAGCTGTCATTCACTCAAGGTATTCCGCTGTCAGATGACAGGGAAGGAGCTTTTATGACCACGGGAAATGCAAACGGCTGAAGAGTAAAAACTTAAAGCACACAGGTTTGCAAACCCCACCTAAAGTTGAGGCGCAGATGAAAGCGATCATGACACGTCACGTGGTGAATAATGATCCGCCAGCTGAGATCAATCGAGTACGCGCTTCTTGGAGAAGGCGCCCGAATGTTCATGCGTCGCATTCACTGCGTGTTCAGCGCAAATGTCCGCTAAAAGTCTAATCTAATACTGTACATTTCATCGCCAAAGAAGCTCGCCTTTACTAAGTTTACACTGAAACTGCGGCTCATAACAAAGACCGGTATTGCGCCGATGGTTAGCGCAAGATTCCTGCTTTGCCTGCTCATAAATTGGGTCGGCTGACTCGCCAGCTTTTCCACTAACACAGAAAAATGAAGATCAGCTCAGACTGAACCTTTAAATTGACACAAACTGAAACCAAATCTTTTAAAGAGTGATAGAAGTGAGACTTTACTTTCTTTTGTCTATTCTTTTTTGAGGTGTATATTATTTTTATTTTTTATTCATTTACTGATGACTGCTTTGCAGCTTTCATCATTGAATTGAATGATTTATTATAATCTTTTGTTTGTTTTGTAGCAGAAATATTATTTATTAAGTTGACATGCATATATAAAAAGCAGTACAAAAATCAATATTTCTTACTGCAATGCTTTTTGTTTGATGCAAACTATACATTTATTTTTCACAAAGTAACAGACTTTTTATAGCAGATAACCTACATTCATGCACATTCAAGGCAGTATCATAATGAGAAATGGAATTCATTGTTACTATTATTGTCATTTTCATCATCATTAATATTCTATGGCCTAATTATTAGACATTCATTTTGGAATCATTGCACACAAATATCAATGTCTTCGCAGCATTAGTTTGATAGTTGTTTCTGGTTTTTGTCAGTCCTATTGATGTTGTTTTAAAATACAATAAATCCCTTAAAGAGCCCATATTATGGGTTTTTGAAAATTCCCCTCCATGTAGTGTGTAACACAGCTCTAAGTGAAGTGAAGTATCCAGCTAAGGCTTAAATCTGTAAGAATACAGTGTTTAAAACTGTTGATTCATCTATAAAAGAGTCGAATCATAGTGCTTCAAACGAGTCGCCTTGATACCGACTCATTAGGTGTTTCGCCATGACGTACGAACGAAACAAAGTTTTTCACGTGCACGCGCAAACCCGGGAGATTTCAAACCTGAGGCCCCGCCCTCTGACGCAGTAACCCAGACACACACACACACACACCCACAAACACACGCACACCCACAAACACACGCACACAAACATGCCGGTCGATTGAAGTCACACTGCAGATGGATATTATATTGAGTCTCTACCCAAAGATGAAACATCAGCATTATAACCAAGCAGTTGGAAACTTCTGGAAGCTACATGCTACAAAGAATACTTCATCTGAGTTTGTTAAAGGAAGGATCAGTAAAGAGTAACTGATGGACGTCAGGATGGGTTTCTTCCTACATTTCTCAAGTGTAAGTACGTGCGGTTAAAGTTGTTGCCTCGTTTACTCTAGCTTGCAAATGTATTTAGTTGTGATTTGTTACTTGTAACCGCGTGTACTGTATCAGGTTAACTGGATATATTATCTTATCGCGTGCAAAGTCACGTTAAAAACGCGACGCGTGCTGTTTGTTTATGGAGCTCCGTGCTAGAGTTCTGCTCCCGCGATTTATTCGGAAATGTATTCCCGCGCCGCAGAAATCTGGCGCGGGGAGAGAGAGAGAGAGAGAGAGAGAGAGAGAGAGAGCGAGAGAGAGAGCGAACGAACGAACGAGCTTTGTGTACTTTGTGCTGTGTGTGTGTTTTTATACAGACAGCTTGGCTGTCTGGACTGTATACTGGGTGATATTTGGTTGTGTTCTCCGCTCTAGCGGGACCGGGCGCGGCGGGCAGAAAACGGAGCGGGTTCTCAGGCTAAAACCTGGCGGGTGCGGGCTGAAGCGGGAGCGTTGTCATCCGGAGGTGTGTGTGTGTTTTTGTGTGTGTGTGGTATGGCGAGTACACGACTGTCTCCTTCGTTCGGTTATCCGTGGCACTATCCACTCGCCATAGTGTGGCAGCTAAAGTCCACGCCTACACTATCGAGCGTGTATGAACTGTGATTACTTTTTAAATTGCTGATTAGCTATTGGCCATTTCCCTCTCTGACTGAAGGCAGTCGACCAATCGCGACAGACTGTCATCGGCCCAATCAGCACAGATTAGCTTCGCGCTAAGGAGGGGTTTGGGAACAAATGAATCACTGGACGATTCATACAGGAGTCGCTGGGATAATTAGATAAAAATAAATGCAGATTATAAGACCATGAAAGTGTTTTTTGACCTTGCATGCATATTAGACTGTTGTTGGAGACCCTTACAACCAAGATATGACCTTATTTCATGTATAATATGGGCTCTTTAAAAAGCAATTTGCAGCGGTGCTCATTCATTTTTGGTGGGTGCTCCTAATTTTTTTCTGGTGCTCCTAAATTTATTTTGGTGCTCCTAAATATTTGAAGTTGGGAGCACCGGCGCTACCAAGTAAAAAAGTTAATTTCGAGCCCTGTTTAGCATTAAAGGATAAAGATATTAATAAATATTATTTTACATTATTTTATAAAATATTTTTTATTTTCCTTCAGCTTAGTCCCTTTATTAATCAGGGTCACCATAACAGAATGAACCGCCAACTCATCCAGCATACGTTTTACGTGGCGGATGACATTCAGCCGCAACACAGTACTGGGAAACACCCATACACTTTCAAATTCCCACAATCAATTCACCTATAGTGCATGTTTTAGGAAACCATTTCCAACACACGAAGAACATGCAAACTCCACACAAAAACGCCATCTCACCAGCCGGGAACCAGCGACCTTCTTGATATCATAGAGATATCATTGTGCTGTGAATACAATAACCATGCTATTTCATGTTTGATTGTTCAATTTCTATATTTCAATTCAGTTAGAACAATGAAAGACTTTTATTTAACTTTTATTTTTGCTCTACTTCTTGTCATTTGTTTATTTTATACAGATGAACCATCCACAATAATTACCCCACACTCTTAGAAATGAAGGTATAGGAGCTGTCACTGGGGCAGTACCTTTTCAAAATGTACATATTAGTACATGAAAAGTCTAAAATGCTACTACAAAAGTACTTTTTAGGTACAAATATTCACCTTTTAGGTACCACTGTGGACTATTTGGGTACAAATATGTACCTTTTAAAAAGGCACTGCTCCAGTGACAGCTCCTGTACCTTCATTTCTAAGAGTGCAGGTGATCTAAAGGAAATAAATCTTTACAAATAGATTATGCAAATAATCTAGGAAAATTATATTCATATTGCAATATGTATTGCAGCAAAACAAAATACTGCAATGCCAATTTTTTCCAATATCGTGCAGTTTTAATAGATACTGTAGGATTTGGGGCGTAAATCATACATGCATGTAGAAGTCAGGATGATTTGGGACTAAATAGATGGTACTATTCTATGAATTTCAACATCTACACTATTACATTTCTCTACTACACTATGAATTTCTCAACTATTTAGCAAGATCTATGGGTGAAACAGTTCATAAACGTATTCATGCAACTGGATGGTAAACAGACATGCAATATCTTTTAAGTCTGCATAACACTAAGCACATGTCTACATGGCACACTTGCCACATACAACAGATTTTTTTAGGATTAAATGCCATTTATGCACAGGTCAACCTGGTTGGGAGGATAAATGAATAGCACCACCTTCCTCCTTTTCTCTGGCTCTGTGCACACTTGGTACACTGTGAGATGCAGCAGGATTTTTAAACCACACGTATACTGCATATAATTCAACTTGGCACTACTCTGTACCTCCATGCACACAGTGACTGGCCATTTGCATGCACTGATTTTAATGTTTTGTTTGATGTACTTGGAAAAGTCATGTCAGCCACCATCACCTTTGGCTAACCTACCTCTGCACAAGCACAACCAAGAATAGGACACTGTATAACCACCAGTGCCTTCCTCGTGGCTACGAACTCGTCTTTAAAAATGAAACAATAAAACTACTAGTTTGAGATCGTGATGAATTCATCAAGCCAAAAAATGTCAAAATGTCCCTATTAGTATTTCGCCGGCAAAATGAGTCATTTATTGGAAAGAGCATGTCAATTGGGCCCTGTGAGGTGGCCTCCAAATCCCCACTATCTCCCCCAGATTTTTGCCTCCGGCTACCCGGTTAACATCTTTCTGCAATTTCTACACAAATCCTTCCCATATAAACGTGATTGGTATGAGAGAAGGTGTGAAGGGTTGTGGTTGCGTGGTTTGTCGTTGCTCATGGCAGTGCTAACATTAGCCAGACTGACTCCTTTCTATTCAAACACAGCAGCTGCTGCACGCTGACCAACCGTAACCATACCTGTCTCCGCCGGTCCCGTCTCTCTCTTCAGGTGTAACCTTGTGATTTATTCCGTCCAGAAGCTTTGCGTTCGGGCCCTTTGTTTTGTGTCTTTCAGCGCGTGTGTGTGAGAGAGGCCGGCTGTGGATTACAAAAGCTCGTGCTATGCTAGTTCCAGCTAGCCGAGCGGTTAGCGACCCACAAAACCCCTTTCACAGACGAGAGAGACGCGCTTCTCCTCTCCTCTCGGTCGTTTTTAACTCCTGGTATCTCTCCGGTTGCGCCGCCGGTGTGAGGTGAGCAGTAACGGGCGGTTGGCGGTTTCTCGTGCGCTCGAGAGAGGCCCCGCTCGCGCCGCGGCCTGTCGCACAATCAAAGATGGCAGAGCGCCAATCCACGAGAGCCTGACGTCAACACGTACAGACGCTGCGTAGCGCTAGTGACCGAGGAAAGGCCTAGACACAGCAGATGGCGCCATTTGTACGTTTTATCAGCCAGATTGTTCCATCTCTGGCACTGATTTATTTTTTATTGAAACGAAGTGATAATACAAAATTATACACAACGATTGCAGAGTGTGCATATCAACAAACTATTAGTGTAGATTCAGCCTTTTTTCGGACGTGACTTCTGCTTTTCAAATTATGGGTTGCACATCCGGTTCGGGAAACTTCCATTATTAGAGAACTGAAGCATATCACTTCAAACTAGATTCTTAAAGTTTGAGAACAAACTTTGAGGCTGGCTTGTGAAAGCCTGACGGTAATAGTTTATTTAGTTTAAACAGTTTTAAAAAGTATGAAAAGATTAGATAGATAGATAGATAGATAGATAGATAGATAGATAGATAGATAGATAGATAGATAGATAGATAGATAGATAGATAGATAGATAGATAGATAGATAGATAGATAGATAGATAGATGATGGAGGGATGAATGGATGGATGGATGGTGTGCTAGCATAAGTCAAACAAGCCAACCCCCGCTTCTCTACGATTTTCTGATACTGAGATATAGCTGCTGTTATATCGTTGCTAGGTTAGTCTGTTTTGTTGACTGATGATGTATCAAAGCTTCTTGCCAGTATGAACAGTTAAAAGCAACACCCATGTCTCTATCACACTGCAGCATGACAATATCAATCTGAACCTCTATAATGGCAGTCCAGGGGACCGTTGCTAGGGTGCCATATCTGGTTGTTAGGGGTGTGGCTAAAAAGTTAAAAGCTCATCAGTTATTGGTAGTTTGGTAGTCTGAGTTAAATGAGCCCAGTTAGAAGTCTGTGCGACAGTCTGATGTAGAGTTATGAGCTCACAAAGTTTGACCCAATGTAAAGTCAATGAGAGTCTTTTGCAGTGGAAGTCTATGGGACAGTTTCTAGGGTCCCAAAAGTGGTTGCTAGGGTGTGGCCAGAAAGTTAAAGCTCATCAGTTATTGGCAGTTAGATAGTCTGAGTTAAATGAGCCCAGTTAGAAGCCTGTAGGACAGTCTGAGGCAGACTTATGAGGTCACAAAGTTTGGTCCAATGTTAAGTCAATGGGATTTTTCAGACGGTCCCGGGACGTTTTTCGGAAAACCAAAAGTCGGATCAGTCGGAAAAGATATAGCAACCCGAGTCAGACCAGTTTGGAGGTCTGGTGTGAGTTTGGTGGTCAAAGCTTGAAAGCTCTAGGAGGAGATAGAGTTTAATTTTTAGTCTCAGAGGATAACAATAGTCTGGCTTGCTACACAAGCCAGCCTAATAATAAGACTGAATGGAATGACTTGAAAATGAGAGGTATGCTTACTTTTGTGTTTTGTTTTTATTGGCCATGAAAACAAAGTGAATTGGGTAAGCTGTCCGTAGTCTATGTGTGTAAATAAGTGTATGGGTATTTCCCAGTGATCGATTGCAGATCGAAAAAAAACATGCTGGATACAAGCTTGATGTTGTTTTCATTCATTCATTTTCTTTTCGGCTTACTCCCTTTATTAAACTGGGGCACCACAGTGGAATGAACCGCCAACTTATCTAGCACATGTTTTACACAGCGACAGCGGATGCCCTTCCAGCTGCAACCCATCACTGGAAAACATCCACACACACATTCATACAGACACATAAATTGCTGACAATTTAGCCTACCCAACTCACCAGTAGCGCATGTATTTATGGGGGAAATCAGATCACTTATAGGAAACCCACGCGAACACGGGGGGAACATGCAAACTGACCCAGCCGAGGCTCAAACCAGCAACATTCTTGCTGTGAGGTGATCGTGCTACCCACTGTGGTGCTCGTTTTAAGTTTAATTTCACACTATTTTCATGAATATATTTATATTTTCATGAAAAATACCGGTTACACCAATTGACACAAACCAGTTACACCTCCTGCAGGGGCGCCCCCAAGGGGTAAACTCTGGCCACCCAAATAGGATTTTGCTGTTGATATAATTAATTTAATGTGCTAATGTAAATTCCTAATATTTAAAAAAAATAAATAAAATGCACTAAATTATTGTTGGTGCCATTGACGTACAGTGTGTAGTTGATTCACTGCCTCTTCCTCTCAGCGCTGGTTTAACTCTGGTGAAAGCAGTTGTTACATTGTTTTCCAGTAACATTTAGGATTGATTTCTGTTATTTATTTATAATAATAATTGTATAATAATATTAATAATATTTGTATTTATTTAGAATAAATATAGTTAAATTGTTATATTTATTGAAAAACAAATCTATCAATTTAAGGTGGGTGGGGGGTGTATGGGGTGGTTGGCCCAGGGTGTCATTTAAACTAGAACCACCACTGCCCTCCCTGATCGTCGCTGACAGCAGGCACACACCTTCAATAGACAGCAATGCCAATTTAATATTTACCTTAAGGTACATCAACAGAAGAAGCTACATTATAATATTGTGGCTCAAAAAGGAATATGGATAAATGATATTATTAGGGTATGTAGTGTGAGTGTGTGTAATGCCTTTTGTTCAGTTTGTTCATTTGTTTTATTAATTAATTAATTAATCTTCATTAATTTTAAACATGGCATATACTGTATGTTGTACAATAAAAGTATGTGAAAAAGAGCTGAAAAGAAATTAAATATATAAAAAGTGTTTTTAAACCTAATATTGATTGATTTTTATTTAATTTGCACATGTACTTGCTCAATTATTTTAAGAAATAAATTGCAATATTTCAAGAGTAATTAATTAATTTAATAAATTAATTAAAAAAATGAAATAATGAGGTTTTAATAAATTTACTTGTGTGCAAAAACACTGAATCCAAAACAAATAAAAGTAACAACTAAAGAATTCAGACAAACATATTAATATTAAAGATCATACTCTATATGTTGAACATGCCCATATGTTAAGCATTGCCATTTTTTAAGAAATTAAAAAAAAATAACTTTTTTTATATAGATTTTATATAATACACTTGACTGATGTGTTTGGCTGTAAAAGCTCTACAGACACTTCTCTAAACAGCCACAGATTTTCCACCCGACTGTGCTTCTGAATTTAGAAAACTATTATTTATTTCTGTGAAGTTGTATTTTTAGTTAGTTCAGTGACTGGTGTTTCTTTTAGTTTAATTTGAATTTTATTTCAGTCAACAAATATGTTTTTGATCAACAATTTTAGTATGTGTTTACTAAAATAACCGTTCTAACTAGTATTATAGTACTACTATAATAGCAATGTTTTACATGCAAATGTACACAACTGAAATTACATCATACCTTTTATTATTATTATTATTATATTAAACAATGAGCATCTTTCACAGCTCTGTTAATAAAATTATTTTTCTATAGGTTTACTACACTAAAATTTAAAAGACAGCACTTCCTTCATTCATTCATTTTCTTGTCGGCTTAGTCCCTTTATTAATCTGGGGTCACCACATCCATCCACACTCATTCACACACACTACGGACAATTTAGCCTACCCAATTCACCTGTACCGCATGTCTTTGGACTGTAGGGGAAACCGGAGCACCCGGAGGAAACTCACGCGAACGCAGGGAGAACATGCAAACTCCACACAGAAACGCTGAGGCTCGAACCAGCGACCCCAGCGACCTTCTTGCTGTGAGGCGACAGCAATACCTACTGCGTCACTACGTCACCCAAGAGAGCACTTCATAGTTAAATTTAGACTGTGAATGATAATCCAGTAAAATTAAAACAAAGATAAACAGTTTTTTTATTTGTGTTATTTATTATTCTTTTTCAATACAACAACAAAACTTAAAGATATTCCTTCATAATAATATAAATATTTTTTATACTATTTAGATAAAATTTAGTATGCTCAACTGCTAACATCATGTATTTTACCACAAAAGTACATTTATGCATTCAATATACACCAAGAATTGCAACAAATATATTTATTCAAATGTTATTTGTTATATTTTCAATTTACAATAATAGCTAGAAGTCGTACAAGTATAATTTAACCTAATGCCATATTTTTTTACAGTGAACGTCGGTTTGTTAAAACCACACATCAATTAATATAATTAGACTGACACACAAAACTTTGTTTGAAATCAGCTTTAGTGAAATGTAGATTATGCATGATTTGCTTTTCCAAAGTTTAAGCTGATAAATCAAAGTAACAGTATTACAATAACAAATTCACAGAATTTACCACATTATTTTTCCCCTGCTCTATACACACACTGGTAAAGTTAATCAGAATAGAAGGATGAGATGTTAATTTCACATAAAGTATGTTTCTTACTCATACATAATCACTGTGTGGGCATTGGCAATGGTACAAACCCCCTGATCTTGTCCAGTAAAGCTGAAGGGTTTTCTAAGAATGTTTGCAGACTGGCTCTGCCGTAATACAGAGCAGACAGGAGCCCTGCAACAGACACTGAAAATATGAGTGAATGTGAGAAGCTCTGTGACTGTGGTTCTTTTGTACAGCGTGTTTTCAGAGGCTCCACCACTCGATCCCACTGAGTCAGGATGGCCTGACGTGCACCTTCCCACTGGCCTGGTCCATGCAAGCGAAACTGGTATGGGGTGCAGGGCCCAAAGATGACTTTGAAAGCCAGTCTTGGGTCTGTCAGCAGCAACCTCGGGATAGAAGGACGGACACCCACTTGTTTAGCCAACTCATCCATGTAGGGAATGTAGTCCACCTGGATGGTGTGCCTCTGGGCTGCCACGTACCTGCATGAAAGCAAGATCTAGAGTCAATAGTATATAGTAAAATTACAGTTTAACCCCAGAAACTGTGTTAATGTTGTTATATAATCATGTGATATGAAATGTGAAGGACCTTTGAGTCATTGCTTGCTCTTTGGCTTTAATGTCCTTCATCATAGCATTCTTTGAAGGCAGTTTACACAGTCCTAGTGAGCATAACACATGACAATTTTATGTATT